ATGTTCAAACTACAGAGTTTTTGTGGAAGCTGGATGTTTATTTCAATCAGTCACTGCAATACATTGAAAATGTTCCAGCTAACAAAGTGAGATAGAGCTGGGCTTATGTTTGATTTCAATGTGTTTAAATATATTCTGTACATGCTGTGAAATATTGTGCTTCCAGTTCAACGCTGCTGACTCCTACCTGCTGCTGCTACTGAAAACTCAACATGAAAACTTTTGGAGTTGAAGGTAAATGTATCCACTTCCCCCACATCCTCCACAGCCTCGCTCTCCACTGGACTACTTCAGTGTTGTACTTGTCTCTGTCTCCATCCAGGTGAGTCCCCTCTGGTTTGACTGCATCTGAAGAAAATCACATCAAGTTCTGTTGAGTTATTTCTCAGAAATGGAACTAGGAAGTTGTTTGAGTTTGTTTCCATTCAGCAGACTCCAACCTGACGGACCTTCACACCAGGTGTTCCTGCTCCTCTGTGTCTTCTGTCTGTGCTGCAGTGACGCTGTTCGAGGCGGAGACGTTGATATGATCAGAAACAGACTGTAGCTGTTGGGAGACACAACAAGATGAGAGTCAAAGTCCTCAGAAATGGAATTTGGATACAAACTCATTTGATATTAAAATGTGCTCTTTGGTACAAAGGACATCTGCAGTAAATGTGGCTGGAAAATGTAAATACACATTGGTGGTTTCTGATGAGGAAGATGCTACTAATCAAGTTATATGTAATGAGTGCCTCTGAATCTATAATCCAACAGATGACAACCCTTTGGTAGAGTAAGTTCTGTCACTGTGGCCCAATATCTCTCTCACCTCCATAGTCTCTGTGGGTTCATTTGGTTCAGTGCTGGAGCTCAGAGTTTTCTTCTTCCTGAATTCAATCCAAAAACAAAAATACAAAGTTTAATAGAAAACTTCTAAACTGTGACAATAAACATTCAATCAGTGATGTTTTCAGTGATTTAACTGATTCATTTTGGTTTCACCTCATCCACAGACAAAACAGAAGCAGAAGAATCGGCATCACAACCACCAGAGTAAACCTGATGATATTTATCATCACTGTTGAGTTCCCTAGAAATGGAGAGAGACAGTTATTAGATATACTGTACTGGACCTCACTAGTAGGGTTTGATTCATGAATCACTTTACCAGGTGATACTGTCTGTTAATCAGTCAGTTATTGTCATGGAGAAACTCACCTGCTACAACAGTCAGATGTAAGGTGGAGTTATGACGTCCTCTTGCATTCTGGGCTTCACAGTAATAATTCCCACTGTGTTCAGGTCTGAAGTCAGTGATGATGAAAATCTGTCCTGATGCTTTTGGTGAGTCTTCATCCTCCTTGTACCAGGTATAATTAGCTGCTGGGTTAGCATCACTGCTACAGGTCAGAGTCACTGTACTGTTCTCCACTATCTCACCAGAGGGACTCACTGACACAGAGGGAACCCTCGGAGCATCTGGAGGACGAAATGTACACAGAGACAACTCATCAACATCAGTGAATGTGTGTATGGTCATTTTTCGACATAGTAAAAGTAGGTGGTTGCTTAGAGAGCGGAGGGTGAAGTATTTTAAAATGAATTCCTCTGATGCCGTTTTGAATCTGAATCCCAAAACTGCATAAAACTCCTAAAATCTCCTGGAGCTGCTCAGTGAATTACAGCAGACTGTGAATGTGAAGCAAGTAGAGCTGAAGAAAGTACACATGATCAGTAAAACCTCCTCCTGCAAACACTGGACAGATTTAAGTTGTTATTTTTAAAGTGTTTCACTCACATTTCACATTAATAGAGATGTATTGAGATGTTCTCCTCCCCAGCTCGTTCTCAGCTGTACAGTAATACTCTCCAGAGTAAGAGGACTGGATGGACCTGAAGACAAGCTGTGGTTCTTTACTGAGAGGATGAAGGTCTGGATCTCCATTCTTCTTGTACCAGGTATAATTAGCTGCTGGGTTAGCATCACTGCTACAGGTCAGAGTCACTGTACTGTTGTCCACTATCTCACCAGAGGGACTCACTGACACAGAGGGAGGCCTCGGAGCATCTGGAGGACGATATGTACATGAAATAAAGATTATAGAGAATATAGAGAATATGTTATCACAGATTACAACAATTTGAATTAAAATGTTTTTTGTTTCTTTCTTTTTGATTATTCCTTGTATTTGTCACAGTGTCTGTCCAGAGTGCTGATCCTGGAGCTGTCCCTGGTTAGACTCCTGCTTGTGGGAACTGACAGCCCCACTACTTCTGTTTTACTTTTGTTGTTTGCTGTTAGAAACCAGTTTCATATTATTTTATCCTCCTCTGTGGTTGTAGCAGCACTTATGTTTGTTGGATTTACCATTAATAAGTAAAAGACAGTCTGTCTGTCTATCTGTCATAAAAATATATTCAGAAACTGGTAACTCTTTTTTAAAGTTTTACCATGAAACAGTTTCAGACTGGTACTATCCAATATCCAAAATCCGATAACAATGAGTTTTAGAGGAACCCAGTGTGTATGTATGGTTGTTTTTATCCTAACACAGTGAAGTAAACTCACACACTGAGGGAGAGCCGTAATTCTCATGTCCTTTCAAAGCACAAGAGATGATGTCTCTGGGATAAAACCGGTCTTTATAAGAAGATGTCTCCACCGATGTGATTTTTGTTCCATTCTTGAACCAGACATAGGAAAGATGACCATCTGGACTGCAGCTGCTGTGACACTTCAGCTCTGCCACAGTATAAGACTGATAGACTTTTATTCTGGTCACCTGAACCTGCAGAGCTGGATATAAGAACAAGAATCAATATTATTATCACTGGTTCTAAAAGAAATGGCTGATAGATGTACATACACATCAACACAACTGTTACAATTCCTACAAGTATCAGTGAGCATTAGTAACTACACAACAGTAATTACACAAACTCATGATGATGATCATTATCAACATGTTCAGTGTTGTTAAATATACTATGTTGGTGTATTTCCATCAGTTTGTGTTCATCAGTACCTGTGACAGTCAGAGTTGTACCAGGTAAAATACTGTTCCATTCAAAGCTTCCTGCTGTGAATTTGAAGTGATACTGGGCTGAATCGCTCTCTCTCAGGTCAGTGATTCTCAGAGTGGAGCGTCCTCTCTCTGTTTCAAGGACCTTAACACGACCTGCATACTGGGAGTCTTCACTGAGGTCCTCAGGCTGTGAGGGACTCTGCCACTGATGACTACGTTCAGAACTGAACCAGAATTTAGATCTGATAGTTTTATGACTGTTGTAGTTGGAAGAAATGTCCACTGATGAGCCTTTGAAGGCACAGATGCTTCTGTCAGTGTAAGTCACTCTGTTGCAGGATTGATCAAAGACACCTGAAAGATATTTAAACCAGAGTTGGTAAAAATGTCCATATTAAAAATACATGTAGTTATAAGTCTCCAGCAGATGGCGCTGTGTTAGTGGAAGACTGTGTAGTAAACTCACACACTGAAGGAGAGGGGGAATCCTCATGTCCTTTAACAGCACAGGAATAACTGTCTGCAGAATCAAAGTAGTCTGAATAAGATGAAGATGTTTCTGTCTGAATTTTCTGTCCATTTTTGTACCAGACGTAGGAAGGATGATCAGGTAGATGACAACTGCTTTGACACTTCAGCTCTCTCCAGGAAGGATACAGAAGATACGGTCCGCTGACCAGCACCTGGAGACCTGGATCTGTGAAGAAGGAACAGGAATGTGATTTTTTAGACAAAACTATCAACATACACACAGACAAATACACACAACACATTTATATTATTGTTCTCTAGATGTTGAATATTTGCAATAATAAGCAGATTAATGAAAATGTTACCTGTGACCAACAAAGTGACTCCAGGTGAACCAGTATATCTTCCATCTGGTTGGTTTGTTATGAACCTGAACTTGTACTCAGCTGAGTCGCTCTCTCTCAGGTCTGTGATTCTCAGAGTGCAGATGTTGTCGTCACAGTGATACTGAACACGACCTGAATACTCTGAGTCTGTTCTCAGATCCACACGTATATTAGTAAACCAGAATGTGTTCTCAACTGTAGTATCACTGTCCTTTATTCTGGATGGATATCTGTATGTGCAGCTTATGTCCACTGTTGATCCTTTAAAGACACAGAGCTTAGTAGAGCTGTAAGTCACTCCCCAGCCATTCTGACCCTGTATCACTGTAACACAGAGCACATCAGAAACTACAATCACACTCTAAACATCAAGAAGACCGACAGATGGAGCAAACTGTCTTAAAGGAGGGAGGATTTTTGTGGGAGCACTGGGAGGTCAGCTGACTGTGTGACAATGGAAGATGGTTTACATGGCTCATGGGTCAGGTCAGAGGGCCCTCAGGGAGGTCAGGTCTGGCTCTACTTATCCTTTCTAACGCCTGTTTTAAAAATGGGTATACACTGTGAATAAAGTTTAATTGTTGTTTTCTGTTAATGCAAAAGTTAGAATGATTTAATGCAAAGGAAGTCAAAGATATACAGATGATCTTGAAACTGTGTACTTTAACACAGTAGTTGTTGACCTGGGTGAAGAATACATATCAGAAGGGTGTGATACATAAAAATAGTCTGCTGTGCTCGGTTGCTTGACTGTCTGTGGTCAGGCTGCTGCAGAGTGTGAATGGAAACTGACCTCTGGTATAGAAACTGTGATATGAAGATAACACAAACTAATTTAAGACTTCATTCTGGCTGATGTACAAGCTGATAATCTTCTGTGTATCACTTTACCATTAAAATCACTTAAAGGTTCCCGTCTGCCTGGTTGTCTGCATTTGGGTTCTTTTCCTTGATACCTTGTATACAGCCTGTGACAGTTTGTTTACTGTAGTCAAAGCAACAGTAGACACACTTATAGCAGCACAACAAGCTGTAAACACAACATGGACGCATCTTTCTATTTACTAAAAACCCCTCAGACTTTCTGACGTGTGCTAACTGCTAACTTCATATCAGTGTAGATGTACAGTACCTTGTACAGAGAGAAGGAAGACAACAAATCCACTCGCTGCTGCTGTTAAACTCATAACTGCTCCTCACGTCTCTGTTCAATCAGCAGGTTGATCACATACACGAGAGATACTGTATGTCAGTTAGTCACAAAAAACATTTCTACATGACAAAAGGAGGATGTACTCTTTAAAGACAGTTTGTCTCTGTTCAGTTGTGTTTCACAGATATAGAGGTGTTAAAAGCTGACCGGGCTTCCTTCTTCTTTCTATTACTGGGCATTAAAAGACACCTTCCTACTGCTGTTTTTCAAACGACACATTAACTTTTTAAAATGTAGTTTATTGAAATGGATCAACTAACCGACCAACTTTGCCATCCTTAAAGCCATGAGGGTTTAGGGATGGCTAGCATGCATAAAAACAGGAACATATCAGTGAAGTGAACACTCAGTGTAGCACTGGTCCAAAGGCGAGGAACCACACAGCAACGGTTCAATCAGCCCTTGATTTTAATGAGATTGGATTCAATTAAAAAGCCTGAACCAGACCTTCATCAGTCTGTGTGAGATAAAGTTTAGACAATAAACATTTTAATGTTTTAAAAAATCTTTGCCACAGGAACACAGAGCAGGAAAGAGGAAGTGACGTCACTAATACAAACACACACACACACACACACACACACACACACACACACACACACACACACACTGTGAGACAGAGTTGCTATGGTTATGGGGCCGCTCTGTGTCTGTGTCACATGTCTCATGCTGCCCGTTCAAATCTCACAGCAAATAAGAAGAAGCCTCAAAGCCACTCCTTCATACATAAATATAAATAAATATGTTAAATAAGCTTCCTCTGCACACAGACACACAAGCAGAATAAGCTCAGTGTGACTTTAGTTGACAGAGTCAATGAACAAGTGTCCAGGGAGTGTGTGTTAAAGGAGTTAAGAGTGTGTTTGAAATGATAAACATGATATCAATATGAATAATGGTACTGTTCCTTCATATTATTGCTCACTCATATTGTAATACTTATTGATCGTCACCTATCCTCAGACACATTCAAAGATTTTAAGGCTTAACCCCGAATCTCCACTGACCCCAGAACCACCAGTTCTCTTAACTGTTGTCCCATCAAGGCAAACTGGTGGGAAACTTTTTTTTTAAAAAAAAAGCTTTTTTTTTTTTTTTTGGGGTTTTAAAAGTAAAAAAAATTAATTATTTAATTTTTTTAAAAAAAAAAAAAAAAAAAAAAAAAAAAAAAAAAAAAAACAAACTGATTTACATTTTATTTGTGTTCATTACTGATAAATACAAACTTTATTCTGGATAATAAACACAAAAAGAGTTTGTTTAAAACTGAAATCTCAAACTGTGTGCACACTGTCGCCCTCTGCAGCAGTGAGAGGGAACTGAAATGATGTTCAAACTACAGAGTTGCAGAGAGCATCCCCGTAACCATAGCAACTCTGTCTCACTCACCCACCTGTATGCACACTGTGTGAGAGGAGAGACACTGTGCTGCTCTGTCTTATCTGTCAGTGCGTCGACTTTTTACACAATACAGAGAGTGTGTTTGTGTGTGTGTGTGTGTGTGTGTGTGTGTGTGTGTGTGTGTGTGTGTGTGTGTGTGTGTGTGTGTGTGTGTGTGTGTGACCTCACTTCCTCTTTCCTGCTCTGTCTCTGTCTATCTCACACAGACTGATGAAGGTCTGGTTTAGGCTTTTTAATTGAATCCAATCTCATTAAAATCAAGGGCTGATTGAACCGTTGCTGTGTGGTTCCTCGCCTTTGGACCAGTGTTACACTGAGTGTTCACTTCACTGATATGTTCCTGTTTTTATGCATGCTAGCCATCCCTAAACCCTCATGGCTTTAAGGATGGCAAAGTTGGTCGGTCAGTTGATCCGTTTCAATAAACGACATTTTAAAAAGTTAATGTGTCGTTTGAAAAACAGCAGTAGGGAGGTGTCTTTTAATGCCCATTAATAAGAAAGAGGAAGGAAGCCCGGTCAGCTTTTAACACCTCTATATCTGTGAAACACAACTGAACAGAGACAAACTGTCTTTAAAGACCACATCCTCCTTTTGTCATGTAGAAATGTTTTTTGTGACTAACTGACATACAGTATCTCTCGTGTATGTGATCGACCTGCTGATTGAACAGAGACGTGAGGAGCAGTTATGAGATTAACAGCAGCAGCGAGTGGATTTGTTGTCTTCCTTCTCTCTGTACAAGGTACTGTACATCTACACTGATATGAAGTTAGCAGTTAGCACACGTCAGAAAGTCTGAGGGGTTTTTAGTGAATAGAAAGATTTGATGTGTGATGTTTTCAATGTGGTGTGATGTCTGCAGTCTGTACAGGACAACCAACAGAGAACTGTGTCTGTTTTTATATCAGCAGCATCTCTGTACACTTATACCTATACATGATAAACTTTATAAACTGAGGTATTGTTCACCTTTAAAGAGCTCTGAATCCTCCTTTAAATCCTCTAAATAATCTATTGAACAAAATGAGTTGGGATCATGCTATTTATCATAATGAATATTTTTGTATTAACAGTTTATACAATGACTGTATAATGTGAAGGGCGTTGCTTCGCAGCCACAGAGAATTATCTGCACTTCCTCTCAGCTCTACAGAGTGTTTTTAGGGTTTTTCAGCTCGTTGTGTTAGAAGCTGTTTTAGTGAAAAAGCTCTAAAAACCCAGTATACGCTCCCATCCAGCACCAAAGGACAAGTTACTAATAGCTTGAGAACATTGTGGAGTATGTAGCTGCTACAGAGCCAGATATTTCCCTCAGTAGTTGGCTGAGACCAGACCAGAGCTAAAACAAGAGAGAGTAATGGACTAACATTCACCAGACAGCCAGAAACATGCATGCATTCACATGTGTAAATAAGCAACTGTTCACAAACCCCATGTCAACTCTATAAGGAGACAATGCGTCCATGTTGTGTTTACAGCTTGTTGTGCTGCTATAAGTGTGTCTACTGTTGCTTTGACTACAATAAACAAACTGTCACAGGCTGTATACAAGGTATCAAGGAAAAGAACCCAAATGCAGACAACCAGGCAGACGGGAACCTTTAAGTGATTTTAATGGTAAAGTGATACACAGAAGATTATCAGCTTGTACATCAGTCAGAATTAAGTGTCTGTTTTTAAAAGTTAGTAGTAATTTTCTCTCTTAAATAAGTCTGTTTGTGTTATCTTCATATCACAATAGTTTCCAACGCCTCAGAGTTCTGCATTTCTCTATCCACACTCTGCAGCAACGTGACCACAGACAGTTAAGCAAACAAGCACAGCAGACTATTTTTTTATGTACCACACTCATATTTAATCTTCTGCTTTTTTATCTGGTTCAGTAACTGTGTTAAATAATAAAGTCTCAATATGTTCCTTCTCTGCACCCTCTGTATGACGTCCTGCCTCAGTGCTCTTACAGATTAACTGCAGAGATCATCTGTATATCTTTGACTTCCTTTGCATTAACTCATTCTAACTTTTGCATTAACAAGAAACAACAATAAAACTTTATTCACAGTGTATACCCATTTTTAAAACAGGCGTTAGAATGTAGAGCCAGTCCTGACCTCCCTGAGGCCCTAAGTATAATTCTACTAAGGGGCCCTGTGACCTGACCCATGAGCCATGTAAACCATCTTCCATTGTCACACAGTCACAGCTGACCTCCCAGTGCTCCCACAAAAATCCACCCTCCTTTAAGACAGTTTGCTCCATCTGTCGGTCTTCTTGATGTTGTTTAGAGTGTGATTGTAGTTTCTGATGTGCTCTGTGTTACAGTGATACAGGGTCAGAATGACTGGGCAGTGACTTACAGCTCTACTAAGCTCTGTGCCTTAAAAGGATCAACAGTGGACATACGCGGCACATACAGATACCCATCCAGAATATATGGCCGTGATACTACAGTTGAGAACACATTCTGGTTTACTAAAGTGAATGCAAATGTACCTGTGGATCTGAGAACAGACTCAGAGTATTCAGGTCGTGTTCAGTATCACTGTGACAACAACATCTGCACTCTGAGAATCACAGACCTGAGAGAGAGCGACTCAGCTGAGTACAAGTTCAGATTCATAACAAACCAACCAGATGGAAGATATACTGGTTTACCTGGAGTCACTTTGTTGGTCACAGGTAACATTTTCATTCATCTGTTAATTATTGCAAATTTTCAACATCTAGAGAACAATAATATAAATGTGTTGTGTGTATTTGTCTGTGTGTATGTTGATAGTTTTGTCTAAAATCACATTCCTGTTCCTTCTTCACTGATCCAGGTCTCCAGGTGCTGGTCAGGATAACGCATCCCACTCTGTATCCTACCTGGAGAGAGCTGAAGTGTCAAAGCAGTTGCCGTCTACCTGATCATCCTTCCTACGTCTGGTACAAAAATGGACAGAAAATTCCAACAAAAACATCTTCATCTTATTCAGACTACTTTTACTCTGCAGACAGTTATTCCTGTGCTGTTAAAGGACATGATGATTCCCCCTCTCCTTCAGTGTGTGAGTTTACTACACAGTCTTCCCCTAACACAGCGCCATCTGCTGGAGACTTATAACTACATGTATTTTTAATATGGACATTTTCACCAACTCTTGTTTAAATATCTTTCAGGTGTCCGTGATCAATCCTGCAACAGAGTGACTTACACTGACAGAAGCATCTGTGCCTCCAAAGGCTCATCAGTGGACATTTCTTCCACCTACAACAGTCATGAAACTATCAGATCTAAATTCTGGTTCAGTTCTGAACATAGTCATCAGTGGCAGAGTCCCTCACAGTCTGAGGTCCTCAGTGAAGACTTCCAGTATGCAGGTCGTGTTCAGGTCCTTGAAACAGAGAGAGGACGCTCCACTCTGAGAATCACTGACCTGAGAGAGAGCGATTCAGCCCAGTATCGCTTCAAATTCACAGCAGGAAGCTTTGAATGGAACAGTATTTTACCTGGTACAGCTCTGACTGTCACAGGTACTGATGAACACAAACTGATGGAAATACACCAACATAGTATATTGAACAACACTGAACATGTTGATAATGATCCATCATCATGAGTTTGTGTAATTACTGTTGTGTAGTTACTAGGGGTGTAACGGTACACACAAGTCACGGTTCGGGACGTACCTCGGT